GTACTAGAACTAAGTCTGGGGTCACCTCGTGGACACATACTGTATAAGCAGAAAATTTCAAGAGTCGTCGGTCAATAATTTCGTCCCACTCCAAAGAAAGGGAGTTCGTCCGGATGTAAATTTCGTTCATGGATCATAAGAGTGTATTGAAAAGCTGGACAAATCGATATTAGAAACTCGGATGTTGAGCCATAAATAAATGTAGAAAGGAAAAGGACATAAGGATACGAGTTGAGAGTAACTCTCCATCACTGTAACTGGATACTATATACAGTCAGAAAGTGCAATAACTAGGTACAAAACTGACAAGAGTACTGAGTCATTCGACGTCCTGACACCTAGCTTCAACACATCTCCGTAGCGCTAACCTTGAACCTTCCAACTTTGGAGAGTTACTCTTAACTCGTATCCTTAAGTCCTTTTCCTATCTAAATCGATACTAGTCCGGCATTTGATTTAGTCCAAAAGCTCCTTGGACGAAGAAGACGAAATTAAATTCCAGACGAATATTTCTGCTTGTACAGTACTTAGTAGTACCGTACTGGCAATATTATGTTGCCGCAGTGAGGCCATGAAGCGTTACATTGGCACATGTTTGCCGCACGCAGGGCGTTACATGCAAAGTCGCACAGGAGCCGTTACACAGGTTTCTATATTGCCGCAGTCCTTTTTTTGCCGCATCACTTTTTTGCTATTGCCGCATCATTTTTTGCTTTTGCCGCATCATTTTTTCTTTTCATCCACATTGAAGGCACAGAAATTCAGTTGCTATCCAACTGTTACAAACCCGACGGCAAAGGGCGACAACGATATCAATAGAAGACTGTATATTTTAACTATCAGAGTGATCTGTTCACAAAAAGATCATCAAAAGGAAAGTGACATAGGGGAAGAGCGCTTCCTCCAAAAACTACTGTCACTCACACAGTTAATGAGTGTACAACATATTACCCATATAAAAACCGCTCTGTGAGCGGTTCTGAAAAACCTTTACTGGTGCAGCCCCGTCGTAAAAGTAAGAAATTAGAACTGGCGCATTGTCCTCCCAAATGTGAACTGATCCACCTAAATCGCGATTGACGGGACCCGAACGCACCAGTAGCACGAGGTTCCTACCTGTGGATGCAGCTGGGGACGCTGGTCCATAGCCAAAGCCAAAGCGGCAAAGGTGGGCTTCGGGGTAGATCTAAGTGTTGTATGGTAACTTGATCAGCGCCGACGCCGGCTGTGATCCTGTGCCCTCCCGACCTCGTGCTACTGGTGCGTTCGGGTCCCGTCAATCGCGATTTAGGTGGATCAGTTCACATTTGGGAGGACAATGCACCAGTTCTAATTTCTTACTTTTACGACGGGGCTGCACCAGTAAAGGTTTTTCAGAACCGCTCACAGAGCGGTTTTTATATGGGTAATTTCAGTTCTTTTTCTGTTCCCTCCCCCACCCCAGCCCAGCTCCGAAGATAAACATGGTGAGCACACGCGCGCGATGCACTGTATGTAGCCATGCGAGTGCAGTAGCACACTGATACATTCCAGCCCTCCCCACCTCGCTACCTCGCACACAGACACCTTGTGACAAACACGCACATGCACATGGCACACACACACACATGGGCACGCACACACATACATACATACACACACACACGACCCAAACAGGAAATTCTTGATGAACATTGTATAATGCCATGCAAAGCAGTGGCCACCATACTTCAGGAAGTCAGTTGTGAAACAAAAATAATTCAACTACAATGTGTAGGTAAGCTGGCGGCCAAAGCACAACATTGCAAACCGTGATATTTGCCTAAGGATTGCAGTTTGCAGACCACACCATGGAAGCAATGAATACAGAATTATTGTAATGTCATACAAAGACAAGCAAAGAAGTGGCCACCATACACCAGAAACTTGCAGAAAGTCACATATCCAACAGATAGAGAAGTGAACAGCATCTGGTACAGCCCACACAAAACCAAGCTGACCTGATACTCGTCCGAAGATCGTAAGTGGCAGATCCTTTTCAACGATAGCATGCAGGTGTACGTTACACGCATGGACAAAATCTAGGGGTGAAAGTTGGCATTGAGATCCCGAGTTCGAGTCCTCTGATTTTCTCCGATCGAATATTCGAGTATTCGAGTATTCTTCATCTCCTAAAAATTGCACACCGAGGGCCTTAAAATCACATGATACGACCCTGATTGAACCGAGTGGCAGTCATTTTTCTCTGGTATATTGGTTGCTGGGTCATTTGGGCTCTCTCTACTCGTGAACAAATGTTCACCACCAGTCTGCACGTCAATATCTGCCGAATGCTGCTCTGAAACTGCAGATTTCTGTGGTAAATGCATGTACCACGTATGAACGAGTACTCTGATTTATTCCGAGTACGATTATTTCTGAAAAAACCGAGCGAGTACTCGAGTATTCGATATAATTGTTTCACCCCTAACAAAATCTGACCGTGTCACCGGCATACATTGTCATCACATGCATACCCCACAAGTTACACACATGCACAGTAGAAGCACAATAAAAGCAATGGAAAAATATGAAGGGGCTGCTGAAGCATCTTCACACTTCAATTTCAGACTTCGATGTGGTCGTCACGGGGTGATATACCTGCAAGATACAAGTGATACAGAAAGAAAGCATAAGGTCGTGAGGTAGGCTATGAGACACCACAAATGGGTCACCTACATGTATGTTCAGGGCTGGTGTACACACACACGCAGAATTATCATAATCGAGAATTTCCCAAACTACAGAAGAGCAATGAAATCCATTTGCATGCACAGGAGCAATTTTGCAGTATGATGCGCAGCTCGGGAATACACCTGTTGGCAATGGATTACATTCCCATTGGAGTTCCCATTCACGTGGGATTCACAGAAGCAATTTGGCAGTGTGCTGCGCAATGCGACACGACCTGCGATTCTGCGTGCGATGCAAACTCGCACAAAATACCATTGACAGAATCACGACAAGTCGTCAGCGATGCAACAGCGCCTTGCTGACGTGCCGCAAGTCAAAGCTCAATGAGAATGCGTTTGTCGGTTACAACTGGTACAAATGTACAAGCAATTTCTGAAAATGCTCCTGTGAATCCTGCTTTAAGCAGTGCAGGAATGTCCCTCCTCCGCTCCCCCCCCCCCCTCCACACCCTCAGGGAACTTGACAAGGAAGGGTGGTCTTCGCGGTTCCCAACATCTATTTGCAGTTTCTGGTCTCCACTATGTCTTTTTAATGGGGATTTGTACGTACCATAAAAGCAAGCCTAAAAAATGAACAGCACATTTGCCGTTCCCCCACTGGGGAGGATGCGTTCCACAGCTATCCTGACAAGATATTCCGAGAAGCGGTGCTGAGTGCAATGCATTGTGAAACTGAAAAAGCTGACCAAGCCGCGGCATATAACGTCTAAACTTCAATTGTAGTTCGCCAGCTGACTACTTTCAGACTCCATGTAGGTCGGAGTACATCTGGCTTAAAAGTTGACAACAACGGCGCACGCACATAAGCAATGGCCACCTTACCTGTACTGTAGCAGTACTTCCGAGTTCCCGTATGGGAGTTCCATCACTGTGTGTGCAATAGCAGCCTCATCGGACCAGTTCAATGCGACGCGGACAGTCCGACACTGAGGAGGACATTGAAGAAGTCAGAGACAGGAAGAATGGTTGATTTACAATTCAACTAGCAAGGCTGAACACCCACGAAGTTCCACTCACCATTGTGCCGTCCTTCTTGGAATGCAGAAATAACGCTTCCTCTCGAGAACGCAGCCTGTGACAGAGAAAAAGGAAGGAGCATCGCCATCGGCATTGGTCCTCTGCTATCACCGATTGCCGAGTTGCACAGTTCACTCTAACAAGACTGAGGATGTTCAAGAACTCCCCATCCATACCATTATTGGAGTAAGAGGAAAGGTCAGATTGCCTAGTTCCTAGGGCCTAGCATTCCTGGATGCCAGGAGGTGCTGCCCCCCCCCCCCCCCCCGCCCCTCCCTTCTACTGCCTGGACAGGGCAACATATGTGACAGCGTTCACCAGTACAGCCGGAGGAGAACATGGGAGAAGGCAAAAAGGGCAACACACATGAATCCCTTATAAACAAGCAGTGGCAACTCTAGCACCAGCAATGTTGGACTTACATCCCAGCCATTGCCGCCGGATTCAGCGGCTTCTTCTTCTTCGTCTCCCATCTTGGAAGCACTCCTTTCCGTGGCGTAAGTTCAGTCCTGGGATCGGGAGTACAGTCGGAGGAGAATGTCGGAAAAGGCAAAAAGGCAACACACATGATTCCCTTATAAGCAAGCAGTGGCAACTCTAGCACCGGCAATGTTGGACTTACATCCCAGCCATTGCCGCCGGATTCCCACGCTTCCTCTTCGTCGTCTTCCAGTTCCCAGGTTCCATCTTGCAAATACTCCTTCCCGTAAGTACATTGTAAGTGCAGTCCTGGCCTGCGTGGATGCGCAGTACATTGACGATGGCGGAGATGGAGCAGGTCAGGGAGCCCTATAGGGCCCCGAGAGCAGATTGTGGCCAAATTCGGGACGATGCCGGACGCCAGTCAGTATGAAGTAGCGAATTGCGGACCGCCATGCCACGTAGATTGGGGTCGCGGGGTCATAATCCACGGGCATTACTCGTACGTTGCTCCAAAAAAGGGCACTGCACTGTTCCACAGTTGCTGTTAGCGGTCGCCAAAGGCACTTGGTAGGCCGGTAATTGGGTCACGTGTCAACAAAGTGTCAACAACGTGTCAACAAAGTGTCGACCACGTGTCTTTAGCGGTACACTAATTTTGGTGTCCCCAAACTGAAAACATCGAGCACCAGTATGGAAAGGCTTTAGACAGAAAGCCTTTCCAATTACAAAGTCACCGTGGCTATCATTAGTCATCACTGCTGCTGGACCTCGGGAAAGAAGAAACCATTGAGATCGCCAACCACTGAATGATGCTTGGGCGTGATTTTCTTCACGCCGAAGGCGAATAGAGACTTCTGCATTGTCACAAGGAAACTGGTAAACACATCGCTCTTCTTAGCAAAACGACCTCGGGAAAGAAGAAACCATTGAGATCGCCAACCACTGAGTGATGCGCCTTCGAGTGTCAGGACTTCCTGCTGCGTCCAGTTTTGAACTTTTCACCACGCGGTACACGTGCTTTCACAGTTTTCAGCCTTTTTTTGCAGTGCAAACTGCAATGAAAAGATCGCCGCACCCCGCCGGACGCGCGTTACGAACTCAACGAAAATTTGTCGCACTAGCCTGGTCGCGCGTTACGCCGCACCCCCCTGCGTTACGCATTACGCGGCAACATATATTGCCAGTACGGCAGTAGTAGAATTTATTATTTTGATAGGGAAGGCCCTACAGACGTTGCCGTCTTGTTACAGGGAACCCTAAGTGCTCTTTACAGAGCGAAACAAAAACTTATAGTAGATCTACTTACACTGTTGCCTGTTTTTACTCGTTATACTTCGAAGTATTTTATTCCTGTCGGTGTGCTTTTTCGGCGGAGCTTTTGGTTGTATCTGAGCGTATTTTCAAAAGAACATTGACCCCCACCCCCACCCCTTAGAATACAGAGGGCTTTAACCGGGGCACGACCCCGTACTGTTCATATGGTCGCAAGACCGGGGACTCTATCAACTGGTCTTTGGTTGGAGTCAGGAACTTTGTTTTCCATAATGTGTCCTCTGCCTTATGCTATGCTGTTATCATCATATGGGTACTGCTTGGTAGTAAAAAATAAAGTCTGCACATCCGGGTTAGAAACACAAAGAGCTTACAAAGACTTTAAGTTGTAGGAGTACTTTGTAAAAACTGACACTATCCAGTAGACCTCTTCACATGTACATGTACATGTACTAGGGGTTCCAGGATCTGGCCGACTGGGTTCGAGGACTTTCTCCACGCGCTACACACAAAAGTTTGGTCGCGCGATGACGGCTCATTCTAGGCCAGTGCGCTGGGATATCGTAAGTTCTGGAGGATTTTTGAAGTCACCAGTGGCTTCCTGAGGTTTTCAGCTGTCCAATGTGGGGTTTTTGATCGCCGTGCGGCGAAATTAGGCCATTGCGATCAGTCAAAGAAGAAATTGAAGGCGATTTTCAAGTCTAAAATGGCATCTTAGGGGATTCTTAAACCGATTTTCAGCTTCAGCACCCAAAAACCTTTCGGAATCACCCATGCCGGTGTTTTTCTCAAGCAAGGCAGAGCAGCGCAACAAAATTTGAGTGCGCCGAGTAGGACTAAAAGCACCTCCGACATGGCGATTTTTTCAAGTGCGAGGAAGAAGAGTAGATCTACACTAGAAACTAGGTGTTACCCCCAGCGCAGTCAGCTGATCGCGAGTATCAAGCAGCACGAAGACCAGGATTGCGCTGTGCCTAGTGAGCACGACGTAGTACACGATTCTGTACTATCTCCTGTTTGCGAGGAACAAGGAGAACAGGCGGCGGCTTGGATTTACGACTCGTGCGCTGGCGGAGAACAGTGAGCTGCCGTCATTACCGATCGAACTGGTTGGTGTTGGAGCTGATGCAGTATCTCTCACCATGATCAGCCTGATCCCAGCTCCCATCGACAGCGTCTTCTGGATTTGGTTCGCAACTTGCAAGCTCTGCAGAAGACGGCATCGGCAACATCAACATTGGCGTGTTTGTGACTTGCCGTCCTTGTCGGCAATGGCCAAAGCCGTGCTGGTGACTTGAGGTCCTTGTCGGCCAAAGGCGTGTGAAGAAGAGGGGTAGGTTCGCCGAATCGAAGCGTGCATATGTCATCCGCTCAAGGCAAGGATAAGAGGCCGGCTGTAAACTGTGACAAAATTTCATCTGATTCGTGTGAAAATGTATGTAGCTAGGTGGTGGCTATGCAGTAGTTTGACCATGTTTTGAGCCGATTTCCCATTTGATCGCCAGAGAAAAATACACCCATTTCGCTGTAGAAAAATGGCTATAACTTTCGAATGCCTGGACCGATTTTGATAAAATTGGTACCATAGTATTTCTCATTTCCTCGGTGACATTGTCCAAGAACAAGCTAGCTTGAATTATGAATTTGAAATTTTGACTGGAATCCCTACATGTACAACGACTTGAGAGTGGTGAATTTGACATTGCACTTTAGAAACCAAATTTGGTAAGTTTTATACATGTGCAATGTACACAATAGAAAAAGTACATGAAGTTCCAGATCTGGAGTCATGGCTATGCCAGTGGATCAGTGGTGCATGTGCATGTACATGTATCAGAGCCAGCCAAGCACGTCAGCCAGTGGTCGATGCATGTTTGTGCGCAAACCCCTCATTGCACACATAAACACTGGCAGTTATGTTCGGCGTACAATCAGGCATTTAAAAACCATGCATCCCTATCTATAACTTATATGTACAAGCATTCGTAGTTCCCTCACAGGAGTCTTTTCTAGCACATGCTGTGAAAATAGACACAGCCATGCGTATCCTAGTGTTTGGATGTGGCTCAGAGTTCATTTCACTGATTTTCAAGGGCATTTACAGCCGTTGGATTCCACTAAGCAGTCGTAGCCTGGTGAAGAGACGGTGCTTTGTGCTAGTGGCAGTGAACTCTAGGTCTGACCCAGTATAAATACGCCACAATTGCTGCTCCATGACAGCCCTAGCCAAGAGCTTACTACTACTTCAAGTAGTATCATGTTGCGGCTCAGCACCAGTACATGTATTCCCATTCAGGGACAACCCCAACCATCATCAGTAACAACTGGCGGCTTGCTGAAGCAGTTCACCCACATCTAGATCTGCACAGACATGACAGGACTCAGCCTTGGCCATGTCCTTGGATAGTACCCATATATGTATACCGTGTACATGTATGGGCATTATCCAAGTGCAAGTACATGTACATGTACATCGTATGTGCGCAGTCCAAGTAGAGTATTAATAATGCTCTACTTGGATAATGCGATCATCATGGGCCATGGGACAGTTAAAGAATTCAATTTGACAAATAAAATGCAGCAAGTGGCACTGTGGGTAATGTTAGGTGGAGTATGACTGACTCGTACACAAGGGTGCTGGTTCACATGTACTGCCATAATTATAACCTGCAAGGATAACTGGGCTGACAACTAACTAACTAATTGCAGACCAATGGCAATGTCAGTACAACTTGCATGATCCTGTACATTGTACATGTACAATTGTGCAACCGATCACTAGACAGTAGTTTTGGTTTGCAGGTTTTTTTTGTAAGACTGCCTGTAGAGCAGCATCATTGATTAATTACCAGTAGGTGGTCTCCTGGTGTATCAGTGTTGTTTTTGATCTGAAGACCCACCAACCGGGTGCCAGAGAGGGGGGGGGGGGGGGGTTGGGGCGAAAGAAGAGGCCTTAGGTGAACCCAACCTGGTATACAGCACTTGTGGTAGGGATTCCCTGCAGCTCTGACCCCCCCCCCCCTCCCAGCACCATGGCCGTTTCTGTAGATTTAGAATATTTTGTCAGCAGCTTTTGTACCCCGGCAGTGCTACCCGTCCTTGTTCCCCTGTTATTGGATCCTTGCCTGCATACATGTATATACAGCACGTACTACTAATACTAGTAATAGGCGGGGTACAGCTCCCAGTTGGAGTACATGTATAATTATAGTAATTTATACATTGTAGAACCATTCAGAACCCCATGTATGGAACAATTGTAACAAACCTTGAATTCAGGAGTTGAAGTGCGCCGCTTCATATCCCACGCTTGAGCCAGCTACAACTCCATCGAAGATTCAGCAATCTTGAACTCATTACATCCCAGGAATGGTTGGCAGAAACGCCCCATATTTGTACGTCCATGTCGGAGGAGTCTTGCGCATAGCTGCATCCATTCTCCGCAGAGGGTGGCAGTGAATCCTCTCCAGATCTCAAGAGGGTATTTATCCCGTCCACTTCGACGGCAGCATGATGGACTGTCCCGACAGCATAGGGTTTGGCGATGCGCTTGAAAGCCATGCATGCACCGCACGGCCCTCAACAAACACATACGCCAGCAAGCGCACAAGTAGAGGAGCAGGTTTCTTGTTTGTTGGATTACGGAGTTCCCTTGTTCCAACTACTTCACTCTTTCGTGCAGAGCTCAGAAGTGCAGTCAAGCAAACCATGTCGTCCTGGAACGGCAACGAGACTGGGATAGAACTGGGGTAACAATCAGGTTGTTTCTGAGATGATTGGCTGCAGAGCGTTAGATGCAACTGGATTGTAGGGAGCGCATTGCTGCCCGGAGGAGGCATTTCACTGGCAAACTGACACATTTCTTGAACGAGCCTGCCCAGTTTAGCGGGTTCCTGTACTCTTTCAGCATAGCCAGGCGCCCGCCGGTGGCATAAGTTTTGCAATACACCAACATGCTACTGTTGCCCAAAGAATTAGCGCTGTTCCTGGTGTGTATCGGCCAAGGAGGACTACCCTCTGGTGTGCAAGCAGCCTCGCTGTCTCAAATTGGTAAGGAAACTATGCGTTAGTCCGTCGTCACAGTGACTGCACTCCAGCAGATCCACACCCGGTTACGGGTAGATCTACCCCCGCCGTTCGGTCCGATGTCACACTTCGAGCTTCTGTTAGTAGTGTTACTAACTGTTGTAGATATGCCTGATAGAGATAGTAGTGTGATGTGACTGGGCGTGAACTGTCACCTTGAACCCCAGCCCTGCCAGATCAGATCTGATCATGTCAGTTGAGTAATCTTGCCACGAGCTAGACTAGCCTAGGCTAGAGACTGAGAGATGGAGTAGAGTCTAGCGACGTAGTGTAGAGTGTAGAGAGAGCGAGATGGGAAATCCGACTGTTGCGGCTATAGCTGCTATTTACTTGGTTTCTAAATGTAGCAACTCATTGGTGTCAGCTTGAAGGATCGAGAGCTCACGACATACACTGTTTACAGTACAGTTTACTCGGGTAGGCTACACACACTGTCACAAACTTGACAAAGCAAGACATACACATAACCGTGATAACGGCTACTGGTAGATTTACACGACTGGCCATGACGACACAATGTGCACATCACCAGCTTCACACTTCAGACGCTATGCAACAGAATTTGTTTATCAAGTTGGTACATACATGTAAGTACGTTTTGGCAGCAAGACCTCACACGACTCGATAAGCAAAGATAATACACAACAAGATCGTGTGTCATGTCATTTTGCGGGATTGTCAGTCCTGTGCTTTGCTGGTGGTGTCAGAATTCTTTTAGCGCCTTGCTCAGATCTACCATTTACTTCCAATCTTTCAACTCTGTATAGTCTGCGGAATGCCTTCTCACGAGTCACTCAGCTCATGGAGACCGTCACCTGGCTACTCAGTATTAGCATTACGTGTATTGCTCTTAGTGTTACCGGACTTATACCCACCCCCGTTTACATCTGCGTACCGACAATACTGTACTTTTAGACTAGTACTAGTAGTATGTTCTTGATGGGTGGTCACGTCAGGGTCTAAGCTCTCTGGTGCAGGGTGTATTGACTATTGAGTATTGTGCAACGGTGACTGGTCTATTGCCGGTGACTATCTATCATAGCTCAGGCTGAACTGACATGACCATGATGACTGATGACTGATGTCAGTGCTGCATCCCCTACAGTATAGTCAGGTTGTGGGAATTAGTTAGCATACTTAGCTCCACAACAGTCCTCTATCAGTATCACTTACTAGTACTGCAGCCTACAGGGGCGTTGATCCTACTGCGTCAAGACCGACTTGGAGACGTGCTTCCCATATTGGCACTGAGCAGAACCTCCGAAATAGTGTTCAAATAGTATTAATGTTATTTAACTGATTGCTATGATGACCCATCGGGGCTACTGGGCATGCATTGGGCGTGAAGCAATGACATGCAGTACTACAGGTACATTAAAAAATTGTAGTGCTAGTCGATATTGACGTGACAGAGTGAAAGGGTCCAGTCACGACTCTAGTGCGGGGACAATGGGCGAATGGGGTACGCAGCTGCAGCTTCTTGTGACAGGCTCCCGCCTCAAGATCCGTGATTGCCAATACTTACCTGTAACACTATCGCCTGGGCACTGCCGTCCAAAATTAATATTAAAATTTACCGGTCGATCTCTATCCTGCCCTTGCGGCCTCCTGAGTGGCATGGTGGGTGATGCGAATTTCACCATTGCGCCAGATGTGCCGATGGAAACACTCAATGATCGCTAATTGCTTGAGAGACACGACCAATCTCTAGTCGATGGGTCGTTTGACTCTCAGCTGTGAAACTTGCCTGGTCCTGAATTTTAATTACAGTCACTGCCCTTCCGTCTTCTCCAGGAAATGTGTGGCCGACAAATCCTGTATGGTATGATAATCAGTAATTTACATTGTATATGCCTGGAATGAATGCACACATGCTGTGTCGTGCTCTCCCCCCCCCCCCTCGCATCATGAATGGGTCGGGGGGGGGGGGGGCAATAACTGGGTCGTCTTTCCTAAATCCAGTATTCAGCGATCAATTCGTTGCATTCTTTTGTGTGACCATCACTTCAAAAGTCACTGTCTGCCAGATATCCTGTGAAACACCGATACTACAATATAATTATAGTACATGTACATGTACCTTCTTCAAGCTGAAATAATGGCAGAAGCCATACCGGTAGGCACAATCCTGCAAAAGTGCAAGGTAGTGCTTACTGTTTTCTGGTCACGGTGGTCGGTGGTGGCATGGTATTGGTATCCATACTGGGCCGTAGTGCAGCAGTTGTCGTGGGGAGGTGGGGAGAGGGGGAGGGAGATCTGGACCACCTGCACCTGCAATCTTGTACATTCAGCTTTCAAGACTAAGTGTACAATACTCAATCAAGAGTACACCGATCTTGCTACATTATTGACTCACTGCTTCAAACCATTGACAATGCATTCTTGCTTTGTCTTTGACCTCATTTCGCTCGCGATGCTCTTCTTGTTTAGAACTGGCGGATGCACTGGATGCCATAGCGTCTCCTGGCCAAGACTCGCATTCATGGCTAGAGCATACCGCTGCTGCAATACCTGCCATTGCTGCACTGTGCCTCTTCGTGGTCTGCATAGCTCTGTGTGCTGGACGAAAGCAGCAATGTAAGTACAATCATGTACGTACAATCATGTACATGACTATTGTGTACATGCACTTGTGCCAGCGTTCCCTCCCGAGTCTTCACGTATTTTAGTGTGGACTATTCACGGAGCACACACGTTTCACTTCACTGATGACGTACATGACTGTCATGTTCTGCTTCCCTGGCTCAGTTCTGTCCCCATGCCATGGCATCAGTCAAGATGAACGGTACTTTCTGATTTAGAATAGACTTGATTCGACATTATCTTTGTTTTCACGATGACAGGCCGAAGTCAATATGCGATAAGACTGATCTACACTAGGACGCGGCCTCTTAGTATTACAAAGCACTGCAGCTAGCCCTCAATACAGTATTTTTAGTTTTGTGGCTTTACTGCTCGGGCTCGGACCCCACTACTCAGTAGAATCTCACCACGCCATGGATGGTTAGGGGTAAGTCAAGCTACTGGTACTAAGCAGTGAAACGTATCTTCCGGTATTCTTTCTTCGATCTGTGACATTGATCGGTTGTACATGCACGTTGTTGTATGCCTGTGTCACGTGGTTGCGATGCCCCCAAATAATACCCGCAGTGAATATCAGTGATGAAGGCGAGGCTGAAGAAGAGGGAACGACGTCAATCTTCTCCTGTTGCCAGCCACGAATTCTGAATAAAGAACCCAGCGTTATACCACAGGACAGGTACATGTACATGTGCAAGCTACACTAGAGAATTGCTTGTGATCCAGCCACGAGTCAGTGAGCATGCTTAGTTGTACTGTACTATGCTCACAGGTCATATCCTCCAGCATGTTCACTTATACCTATGTTACTGTACCATCAGTAGATCTACCATGCACAGCATTGGGCTGATGCTGGTCAGTGTATTGTGCATGCAGGCTACATTGTAGATGGCATGGTACCTGAAAGAGTAAGAGCACTGCCACATAGAGCTATTTAATAGCTCTATGTGGCAGTGCTCTTGCTACTACCATAAGCACAATCTCTCCATAGACATGTACCTACAGAAAGACCAATGTGTTTTGGTGAGGAATGACGCTATCCGCGGATGCTGTGAATCACGTGTATGACTGAGCTGGTAGTATCTGGTTATAATTACGGTATTCATGGTGGTGGCATGTGGTGGTATGTGTGCATGCTGCTGTGCAAAATGGACACAGTCTGCAGTATCTTACCGCGGTATTATGTGTATTGTGTTCTGTGTTCCTCTCAGCTATGCAGTGCGTGGTCCCAGCACCCAGAATTTAATAGCAGACCAGACCACAGGTAGCTCTGACCGCGTGCACATAGCCGGGCAAGGAGCAAGGCAATCTCCAACCACGCAGCACGCTCCGCAGGGTACTCGATCCTCACCAGACGTTACCCCAGGCACTCCACCAGAGACAGAGAATGGAGATGACAGCCAGCAGAATAACAGTGGTGGGCCATCGTTTCTGGGCAAAACGTTCGCCTCATTCAATGTCCTGCACTCCAAATGGCGCAATAAGTCTGATTCTCCGACGGGAAGTAACGGCTCTAAAAGCATGTCCAAGTCGCTGGAAGATCTCTCACAGGTCGACACTGGCGCAGCTCCAGCGAATGGGAAAGTAAAGCTCATGCCCCCTCCGCACCCACAACCCTACGCCCGCCATAAATCATCCCAGGAGGCGAGTGCAAACCAGTCAGCTAAGGGCAAAGCCCCGCCCGGGTACGAGGACGTTCAAGTCAGACCTCCAGTCAAGCAGCGCTCACACTCCAACACGGCCGGCAAAAGCTCCCGCGAGCACGTCTCCCAAGTGGCCAAGGATGATAACAACCCGACAGCATCAGCAGCAGTACTACCGATTGGTGGTGGCCTACTGAAGAGAGTCAAGAAGCCCAGTGTCGGTCAAAGGCGCACTGAGCCCACAAAGACTGACAGCACGGAAGGTGATCCGACCAGTGACAAGACAACAAACCCAACGGCGGCTTCTAGCGACCACGAGGCCGATCAAACGCCACAGAAGCTAATTATACATCCTGCTCCAGTCGAGCTGGCCTACAACCAGGTTAGCTAGAGACATCATCTGCCCATGCATACTACAGCAGTACTCCCACCACTATACTGTGTACGGTATGCTACATATTGCCATCCTCATCATGATAAAGAATGAAGCTTAGCTGTTAGTGTACACAAACTTCATCCATTGGTTTTATGCACCTACTTCAAGTAATTAATTACTATTGCAAGAAGGTTTCGTGATTTACAAAATACCGTAAAGTCGTGGATAAAAGCCGGGTTTGCATACAAGCACATCGCGGATAGAAGCCTGAAAATCAAACGGCTCAAATGCATTATAAGCCTGTCGCGCGTAGAAGCCTGGCTTCTATGCAAGCGCGGATCGGGTAGGTCAAGAGTGCATGCCGTATGTACAGTGCATAGTAAAACTGCCGCCATACCGGTAGTCAGTGGTAGATCTACGCGTGTCGCGCGTAGAAGCCGGGCTTCTATGCAAGCCCGGATCGGCCGATGTGCATACAAGCCTGGCAAAATATCAGTGGTGCATATAAGCATGGTACAAGCCTGGTTTGCATTGAAGCCTGATGCAGAAAGCGGCTTATGTGCTTATAAGCACGGCTTTTATCCGCGACTTTACGTTAGGTGATTACCAATGAATAGCATTATATACATCCTTTTAAAACTGCTTTCATGCCTTGCTGCTTGGTGTACAGGTTACTGTGCAACCCAAACCATCAAGCAACTCTGATCAGCAGAAATCAAGCAGAGCTGCATCAGCCTACGCCATCTCAGGGCCGCTCAAGTCTCCACCCAAGAAACCCAAACAGCCGGAGGGGATAGGAGCTTCGCCGGCAACTCCGACCTCTCCCCTCTCTTCGTCCGTGTCATCCACATCTGTTGCACTGCCCACACAGTCTAGCACCACAACTAAGCAAGCTACGCCAAGCACCCCGCCTTCACCGGCTCACCGCAGGCGCGCCCTGTCCAGCAATCGACACGGCAAGAAAGTCAAGGGCTCGAATGGCCAGGAGCAAGCACAGGTACCTCTGCCACAGCCAAGCAGCGACTATGAAAGCATCGCAATAACGGGAAAGTCGGATGTCCAAGTCCCAGCCAAGGAGACAACAGCTCAAACGCCATTGGCGGGCATGAAGCGCTACGGAGAACCACATCCGAAGACGAAAGCTCTGCCAGAAGATCCCAGCCACGATTATGATGAACTGGACGACTGTGCGTCCAAGCAACACCCCAAGCCCAATGATGTCTACAGTGTGGTGGAGAAGAAACAGGCGCTGAAGCCACCGCCGAAAGACACATACAGTATAGTGGATAAGAAGAGCACATCGCCTCCAAAGCCCTCCGATACCTACAGTGTTATAGACAAGGCTAAGCCTCCAGCAACGTCCGCACCACCAGCAGCAGCAGCAGCAGCAGTTCCATTGCCAACACCTAAAGATCTTTACAGTATTCCAGACAGGAAGGCACCAAATCAACCAGCACCCACAGAGCTCTACTCCGCTGTGGATAAGAAACCAGCAAAAGGCGACAAGGTAGGTTCATGAAACCAAACATCATTTCCACTTCTACACTTCCCAGTTTAGATTCCTGTGGGAACACTGTGGTCTGCTTAGAGAGGGGTGTTGTTGTTGTTGTTGTTGTTGTTTTTTTGTTTTGTTTTTTGTTTTTTGTTTTTTTACTACGTTCACATAACCAGCTCGAAAAGAATAAGGAAAGACAATGTTGTTGTTTCAAATCTTTATTTCAAATCTTTATTCTCACGATAGCCTTGTTGTTGTTGTTGTTGTTGTTGTTGTTGTTGTTGTTGTTGTTGTTGTTGATGTTGTTGTTGTTGTGGTCGTCGTCATTGTTATGGTCGTCGCCATCGTGGTCCATGCTGTTGTTGCAGAATTCCATAAAATGGTGCAGTACCAGGATAATTTCCAGTAAACCCGTCTAATTCCAGTATTACACACGGAAAGTTGGGTGTGGTCCTCGAAAGAGCTTCATACAAAAGGAATAGAATACGAAGCTTGGGTTGGCTGTGACTCCGAGTTTCACGCCATAGGCGTGAAACTCGGAGTCACAGCCAACCGAAGCTTCGTATTCTATTCCTTTTGTAATTCCAGTATTATTAAAAAATTTTTAATATCATTAACGCCAGGCTATCTCCAATGAACCAGGCTAATTCCGGTGTATTGTACGATATATCTTCCTATCATCTTTCTGGTACACTTGCAGCTTGTCTACACCGAACTGGCCTTCGAAGGAGAGCAGCAGGAACAGCCAAATCATGCCGCAGTGAAGAAGCCCACACCTGCACCTGTAGCACCCACCACTGTCTACGAGACACTGGATATGGACGTAAAGGCGGGAGATGCTCGCCTGCCGCAACGCACCGTCGCTGGGCTAAGAGAGGACGATAGTGACTATGAAGACATTGAGGGTGCCACGCAGATGGGCAAGGCCAAGGGAGCGAAATAACCTGCTTGCCGAGGCATAGGTGGCATCCTATCAGCTGCTCGCAGCGGCGTACACTGACATCATCAATGCCAGTTTCAGCCAATCCCTCTAGCTCTCTCCTTGGACTTGAACACCCTAATTACACGCTCAGTGTGCCATTCATGCGGCGGTGCGTGTCTGTCAGGTTACTTTTATACTAATATACGTCGTTGGTCTTGGAATTGTGTCAGTGAATGTGTACATGATAGCATGTACCCACGCCTTCATGGCACTCACAGCGTTAAAATGATTGCACCGTACATAATCACTGCACATATCCTCTCCTCAGTAAGCAACACATTCAAGCACTTCACAACAAAAACAAAACATTCAGAACACGCCTCCCAGTACATGTACATGACATGTTGGTGGAGAACTTGATGCTTACGACTGAAATTAATTTTCTTTGATGACTGCATTCTAAGTTTCTAAAACCTTCGATCATGCTCTTGAAAACTATGTACTCACTTTAAGTTAATAATTACTTTTAAACCCATACTCGTACCCATCATGTGTACCTATTGCATGATTTTGTAGCAGAATTCTTCAGTAAACCATCGGAAGCAGTTTAGATTTGAAAGAAAAGGACTTTTAAAGGTGACGATTGTGACGAATTACTGACACCGAGAGGATGGTATTGGTGGGAACTCTGCGTTGTTGGTTGCAAGAGTGACCAGGCAGCCAATTCCAAAGTGGTACTTACTTTCAAAAGTGTTCGATATCGCGAGGGCAGAGCCAAAGGAAACAAGGCTATCTTTTTGCTGTTACTGGCTCCAAGTTCCAGGGTTGTTCATCAATCTTCAGACAACCATGATGGTGGTAGTGTTAGTAGTGGTACTACAGTCCATTCAGAAAAAGATGGACTTCTAGCTTTTGGCCATAAATGGGTCAAACTTTGAGTTTTTTTAGAATTTTGTTCTGCAATCCCCTATGGAATCCTCTTCCAATTATGTTTCTGAAGTCTATTTGTCCAAAAAGCAAGCCATAACAAGAATAGGATATCGGCCAGGTTTTGCCCCAGAAGCATTGAATTGGAAAAAACCATCAAAATCCAGGCCGTTCGACCCTGCCTGCAACAGTGCATTGGGAAAAAACCCCAGTTCAGGTACCCTTTTTGGACTCTTTTTCAAAGTTCAAATTTCGCAGCACTGCACTGTACAATGAAATCACGAAAAATCGCCAAATACGGGAGCTCGCCAGAGCCAGGGCCCATCTTTTTCTGAATGGACTGTAGTGGTACGTAGTACCTAGCGTTAAAAAAGGCGTGGCAAATTTGCGCAGCAGATCAGTGGCGTGTCCAGGATTTGGCTGAGGGGGGGTTGCGGCCGGGATCAAGGCGGGATGGGGTGGGGGTAGATGACATCATGCTACTGTCCCAGGTCAGCCAATTTGAAAACCGATTTTGAAAACCGATGTCAAGAAGCTCCTCGACCTCCTGTAGCCCCTTCTTCAACAGTTATTCACCCGAACGGCCCCAGAGACTGTTCCGAAGGATCAGCGCACCACACGGGGGACAAGTGTCGAACTTCCTTCAAGTTCCCTTTCTTCGTGGGCCTGCGGGACGATCGAGCATGATGTTTTGGGGAAGCATTCTCTGGAACGCTCTCCCCTCTGATTTTAGAGTGATACGTGTCCCTGGTCCTTTCCGAAAAGCTCTTTCTGCCATTGATATACTTACTTTATCCTCGTTCAACTTTTATTATCTGCCATAAATTCCAACATTCTCATCTATCAATCATTTGTGCATGCATGTCTATAAAATCAACCACGTGTTCCTGACTCCATGAGATTGTCTTTCTGTTCTTTGACTCCATGAAATTATTGTCTTTCTATTTCTGACTCCATGAAATTGTTCTTCATATAAATTTTTCCCTTTCTTCTTTTGGTCCTTTCTGTCTTATAAGTTATATTATTATTATCATTTCTTGTTTTCCCTTGCATATCATCCCTTCATCATTCTGTGAGAACCTGTCCTATGGGCAGGTGAGAAGGCATCTCTGCCTGTTCATTTGGTGAAGTAAAATATACAACAACAACAACAACAACAACAACAACAACAACAAGCCGTAAATCTCACACACCACGAGCAGTATTTCTGTACACGCAGCAACAATGTACATTGTAAACTTCAAATTTGCCGTGATGTGAGCGAATCAACTGCAATTGTTCATGCGAGTCCAACAATTTCTCACCGCTCTCAAAGCATCCTTTACATAGGCAGCGATTACTTGTCACTGTGCGCTGTTCTTTATGTTCTGGCTGCTCGCTGACAACAAGTTCTCCCACGTCTGGCGGAGTGTGACTGTCAGTCCGCTCCGAAAGTTCAACTGGAATAACAGCGACTTCATCACTCCCACTGTTTCCTGTTGGAGCGGCAGCAGGAGTTGCGCCGCCACAGGAACGCTTTACAAAAATTCCAGGCTCTGCTGGCTAGAGCTTGGCCTTTTGGGATGTCCCTGAGACATCGAAGAAAAGCCTTCTAGTCAACCAAAACACGATTCGAACGAGGATGATCGCCTGAGCCCTCGGCATTCGAATCGTGTTTTGGTTGACTCGATCGAAGACTTTTCTTCGATGTTTGTACCGTTGAAGACGCGTCGAGCGCGTCCCAGCATGCAGGGATCACACTGTACAACAGTCAGTACACAGGTCACCGTGTTTCTGTAGCCGTGCATGCTCACTGTACGTACTAGTAGACTCTACTCTGTAGACCGTACTGTACTACTACATTGTACTACTACAGTAGATCTACTAGTCTGTAGTGTGTTCAATCAACACCAGCTCGAGCACCGCACCGTGCAACCGCTTTTGCAAGTTTTGGACGATCGTTTCGTGGTTTCAGGCCGCGTCTAGCTCGACACGGCTGTTCATATGATCACGTCAGCGGACATCTAAGATGGCGTACCGGCGTCGGCTTTGAGCATGAGTCATTTGAAAATTCTGCTCGAGATACGCATTTTTCCTAAACTTATCATAGCAAACGATGATATCTTCGGCTTCCTCCGAGCCTGTTGACCAGTAACTCGCGATTTTCCAGAAGAGAAAGGAAAGACGAATCGTTTGATACCTCGCTCGACGACGAGCGTCGTTTTGGTCCCGATCGTCGAAGAGAATTGGGCCATTTTTGTTCGTCGTAACTATTGTTGTATGCAGGGAGTCGTAAAATACCCTGGTATTTTACGACTCCCTGGTTGTATGTTATTGTGTAGCCGTATTTCCTGCTCCCAGAGAAGCGTTGCTGGAGTTTTCCCGTGCTTTCAGGAAGTTTTCCTGGTAGGCCCAAGGCTTCGGCCATCCGACAAACCTAAATTCGTGAGCGGAAGCTGGTACATTTTTTTGGAAGCTGGTGGAGATGTTCTTGCACTTTGTGTGATTTTTAGGGCTCGATGGATAGTCTTCTGCATGTCCTGGCATCTGTATGCTGGATCGGTGGCCAGAAATTCGCTGATTAGCCTTGCAGTACTACGTACTTTGCAGCTGAGCATGAAAAATGGCCTCAATGGCATGGGAGTTGATATTTCGGAGGACTTACTTGAACAACATCATGCTGCTGCGATCATGATAATTGTGCACAATTGTGTTACATGACAGTCGCACTACTAAGCAGTGATAGCTGTGCCTTGTGTTGAATTGAGTACAAACATTATACATCATGACTAGAAACTACCACGCGATCAAAGGTATGCACAGCACGTGTACGCAGCAGCCGCCGTCCTGGAAGACGCTCGCACCGTGATTTGGTGGTAGCGGCATAGCACAGTAGAATGCATGCAGCATACTCCTGTGTCAAGCCACAACTGACAAACGTTACGTGCCTACAACAAGTCATCTACAACAATGTACATGCCATCAATTATATATTCACAGCGTAACGGCACAACTTCCGAAGGCAGATGTCACAATTGGAAAAGAACATATTTAGCAGCCAGACAAACTGGGTGTAACTCCAGTCAGACTGCACAGGCATAAGTCACAGCAAAAGCACACTCATACTATAGTCATAGTCATGGCTACACACAACACACACACGATCGCATACGTGCGCGCGCACACGCACCCACCCAGACGCACACACAACATGAATACCGATATGCGGCACTGAAAATTTACACTGCAATAAGAACAGGAAAATGAGCACATACGTGGTGTATGACTACCACTCAATAATGGAAAAGTCACTAGATTTAAAGTTCAGCTGAGGACGGTGTTATGTCCTGGGTCAGACTCTTCGTGGAAACAACCATGCACGGAGATAACAATAACTATGGACTGTCGGGATTAAGTGGAGTGCAGCCATGCTTACACACTGCCACTGTCCAAAGAGGATGATGGATTCATCGCCTGCTGACGTGTCAGATGAGGGCAAACAGTCACACACCTTGCGGACAATCAAGGCTGATCATAGCGCTTTCGTTGCTGCTGGTTCCCAGACGTTGCTCACAACGATGTGTAGTAGCGTTGTTATCCGGTCCCGAATTCTGCTGGTCGAGATCAGCCATACCGTTGTGCCAGTTTTGCATCTTGACCTGGGGATCCATCCCTGGATCTACGCTGCATCAATGCTGGCAGAGGTCGGCCAGCTCGATTAGCACAACGCCAGCCGCATCCAACGGCAACAGCAACGAGCAGTACACAGCATTGGTCACACTACATGCCAAGCTGCAGAAATGCATAGCCGACGCGGAAGCAGCCTAGCAGAAAGCCCCACGCATTTAAGGCTGGCCCAGCTACTTAGCTCTGCAAGGCCATTAGCAGTGTGCCACCAGCAGCATTTCGGAGGTTGTGCCGGCAACTAAATCCAGCAGGAGTCGCAGGCAGCATTGCATGATCAGACTGACAATTTCAGGCTACAGTTTGTTGCTGAATCTCCTGCTCACTCCCATCATATCACTACAAGGTAGCTCATCCATACTGCTAATACTGTGCGGTGCTCTTATGTCGTTGCCGCGGAATAATACTACAGTAATACCAACTGTAAGAAGCCGTGTTGGATCAGTTTTACACTGGTTGCTGTATTCCGAGCTCCAATAGATATTCCTGGGACAAAACCACGGACTAGAAATTCAGTCTTGCACTGTTTCTTCACTTCCATTGTCTTCTGCAGGTTAATGATGATGGCTTAGCACTGAGCAACATCGAACATTTCATGAGCTCGTTCAAGACGAGATCGTGAAGAGAAACAAATGCCATGTTACCCCTAATCTGCACCTTTTAGAGATGCACGCCGTGCCAGCTGTAACCCGACTCCATGTGGCCTTGGCTTGCTAGTTGAGCAAGGCTCAGAGAGCATCCATGCGGAATTCAACTCCCACTCTAATTAGAGTGAAGCGTTCCTGCGCCAATGAAACGGCTCGAAGCAATCGCAACGACTATCAAGAACGCTGCCCATGTCCAGGCCACTCCGTGGCCGTAGCTAAGGCATGGAGGAAAACGGCATCCACTATAATCCTTCTCTTTCGGCTAGCTTACTCCATAGTGACTAAGTCCTGCTCTTCT